TGTGGAAAACCTATCAGAGAGTAATATAACTTCTGTACCGTGGTTCCTGTGGGACGTTTTAAAGGAGTAGGTAGAGGTATACTGTTTGTCGGACGGGTGAGTGTGTGCGTTTGTGTGTGTGTATGTGTGGACCGATATATTAAAGAGCACGAGGAGTGCTATTGACAACCGAGGGCAGACCCTTTATCCACCGCCCGCGTCTCCGCAATATCAGCCTTCCTTGTTCGCTTTGGCCTCCATCGCAACGTCACTTAATGTAAACACACACAGCCGCCACCTTTGCGCAGATAATGGATTCCTCGACTTTGCTCATCATCGCATGATGTCGAGCTTAATATGATTTCCATACAGCTCGCACACGGCGCGTCCAAAGGACAAAAAGTGTACGAATTCGGTACAAGGCGTTTTGTTCAAAATGCCTCATTTCATTCCCTGAATACGACTTGTTAGGCTCTTGGGTTATTAATTGTACAAAGACAATAAATAAATAAATATATATATATATATATATTTTTTTTTTTTGTAAGAAGACCGTTTGATTAGGTGTACACATATCAATAATATATAGTAAAAATGAATAATATTATATAGTAACAAAAATTATTTTTTTAGTTGTATGAGGGGTTAAAACCATAGTAGTGTAAGTTACATAAATCTTAATTAGAGAATAACAAGTTTTAGTAAAAATATTTGTATTGTGTTTGTATAGGTGTTCCAGAAAGAAGCCACATTTTGAAAACTATAATTTTTTTTAATATTCGTACAAAAAAAAATAACACATACCATTGATCCTAAGGTTTATGTGTGGAACATAATATCGGGCATATGACCGCCCCTGTCCATGAAATTTTGGATGACGCGTTTGCAATTTCGACGTCTAGGTCACCCATCACTCGTCTGATTTCTGCAATTCAGTCTTAAGCTGGTTGAGATCACGAGGTTTGTTCTCGTAGACCTGGGACTTACGTACACCCACAAAAAAAAGTCGCAGGGGGTCAGGTCACAAGACCGTGGTGGCCTGGTCAGCTTAAGAAATCAGGCGAGTGATGGGTGACCTAGACGTCGAAATCGAGTCATCCGAAATTTCATGGACAGGGTGATGACCTTTAGGGCGAGCAGGGGTGGTCATATGCCCGATGTTATGTTCCACACATAAACCTCGGAACCTCCTGATCACAATGGTATGTGTGATTTTTTTCTGTACGAATATTAAAAAAATTATAGAATTTTCAAAATGTGACTTCTTTCTGGAACACTTTATAATATATCATAAGCTTGTAATGCGCTGCCATTTGGTTGTAGAGGTTATGAGTTAAGAATTAATTCACTTTGCCTTTCGATAAATTTAATTCTTAAGATATTCCTATAATAATTCACTTAACTTTTACGAACATATGACTTCCACTGTGTATTTGGTACGATATGATTACACGTCAATTTAAGTAAAGAGCTGTTTTTTCTAGTTTGTTCATGACAGCGGCATAATATATTATTTTTATTTTTATTTTTTATCGACAAATTTTTGTTTTAAAGTTATAACACCCAACTACTGAGTATTAATTATACAACAAAATGTCTTTTATTAATTACAATCAATCATGGTATTATTGACAAACGTTATCAACGATGACGGATAGTTATAAATTTAATTATATTAATGTACTGTTGTACACAATATATACAGCGATTAGAAAATATATATTTTATTCTTAACGAGTTTATCATTGAAATTTGTTATTCAAGTTTTGTAACTTAATTTTCAAATCCATTAAAATGACTTATATTTATTTTTATAAATTCACGTGTTAAATAGTATACCAGCGTTTATTGTATAGCACCGTATAAAATCGATAATATATTATGTATATAATGTATTATATATAATTATATTAGTTTTAGATATCTATATCATATTCCATATAGGATATAATAAATTGTGATTACATTTTGTCTTTTGAGAAGTAAATTTTGTAATTTATTTAAAACAAATTATATAACTTATTAATTATTATACAAATTCGATTTGAACAGTTCATGACATGATTGACACATTCGTTTTATTTCAGTTAATATTTTACTATTGGAAACTTTATTGAAACGACATGTTGTATGGTTTTGATTTTCGTCGTTTATGCCGGCATGTTCGTCGACATTTGGTATTTGCCAGATGGGAAATGCGCAAGATGTTAGTTGTAAGGCTAATGATCTTCTTTTATTTGTTTTGCAAACGACGTGAACAAATGTATTTTTTTTATGATAAAAAAAATATTTTGTAGCTTTTTTATATGTGTCTTCTGTCAGACGATGACGGCGATAAATATTATCTCATAACGGGTTTAAACAGCATTTTTCTTCTTTTTTTCGAAAGTTGACGAAATAACGTTTTATTGTTCAAAATGAATACAAGCATCATTAGTTATCCATGTCTTATTGAGCATATTATTCGTATAAAAATGTATTTTTTCCTCAACTAAAAACATTAAAAGTACAATGCATTTATTCATATTATTATTATTTATTACCCAACCTTTTTGATAAATAAGATGTATACATTCTGGAAGGATTAACGAGAACCGGGTAGAATATGATAATAACAACACTTGCTTCAGTTACTACGTAGTTAAAGCGGTTGCTGCCTTTTGCACAAAACAAGTAGAGATATGATCAGATATTCGTCATCTATTTCGAAGGTAATGCAAAAAATCTGCGCATTAAAATGTAGTATACTAGACAAAGCAGGGCGCGCAAGCTGGACAAAATATTTGTGCCGAATTTAATTATTTAAAATTTGTAATATTGTTTTTTTAAAACAATATTAAATTTCCTATTTAATTATTCATGTATTAACCCTTTATCATGCCATTAACCTTATAAAAAAATTACATTATTACTATAAAATTGTTATTTAGTTTATCAAGAAATCACACATAGGGTATTATTATGTTTTCGATAAAAGTATATTTGTTTTGTGACTTGAAAGAAATATACCAATCCTCATACTTTTTTAAACGGCTGTTGATTCCCATGGCTGTCAGAGCCGAAAAGTGTGTCAATTATGAAAAAAAAAAAAATTATATTTACTTTGTCGTGCTAATTTAGTTTAGTTTTAATATAATTTTGTGAAAATTATTTTTGTTTATTAATTTAACATTATAATTTTATTATATACCTGTAAATAATTTTATATAGAAGATTTGATCTTTTTGCGATGTACCAACAACATGTTTTCAGCATGTTAATTCCAAAGTTAAGAAAATACTAATGGACAATAGGTCAGACCAAACAGCTGTGTCGGCGCCACTTACACTAAATACATTGTATAGGAGTGTGAGTTTGAGAGAACAATGGTAAAATTATTATCGATATGTTTATGTTATATATGGTCATGTGCGGAATGTGTGAAGTTACAACGGCATATACCTACCCATAACCTTATCGAGATCGCGGTAATGTAAAACAACGGAGACAACTGTGTATTATATAGTCCGTAGGGTAGAATAAACAATGGTCAACAACCTTTTTTCAACCCAAAAGTGTGTTTGGGTCACTTCTTGCGACGGAAGTCCCTCAAGTCAATAAATTGAATTTTACTATTGGGAAAATCATTACGGAGTTATATATATAAATATAAGATATGTACTTATATATATTTTACTGCGTACTGCAATTGTATTGTTGACTGTCGCATGTTAGTTTAATATATTATATCAAAGCACCTATTTTACATATCCGTCCATTGTAACCTTTGCTACTTAAGCGACGGTGTTAATTTGATACGACTATTATTATTTTGATAACAACTTAAATATTTCACATGAAAATGCAGCATATCTCGTTACCAAACACATTTAGAGTTCACATACTGTACTGCTTTAACTATGAAATTATATTATACTCAAGACGGTGTAACTTAGACTTTTGAATTCGTTGTTGGTGAGTTGTGGCCCAATCCCTAAATCAAGTACGAGTTGCGGCCCGGGTTTATGAGAGGGACGTATGAGTTGCGGTCTGGATTTATGAGAGGAACGTATGAGTTGCAGCCACATAATAATTACCGCATTATATTAGCCTATTAGCGTTACCCAGGAGACACCACAGGGAGGTTGGCTGAGTTATCTACCAAAAATGTGTTTTTTGATCAAGTTAAGGTCAAGTTTCGTCATGTTATTCGCCGATGAGCGGTTCCGTCGTTGTCATTTTAGTTTTTTTTATACTATTGAGTTGATAAAAATTCATTTGATCTAACTTTGACACTCTAATAACTTCAAAAGTAACGAGATCAAATATTATAAAAACAATGCGAAAATAAAAATTTGAAAACTAATTAAATCCTATAGGCTATAAGATATTGATTGGATCTCTTTAAAAAAATCATCCTGTACAACTAAATTGGCGATAAATGTTTCCAGATAAAAAAGGTTGTACGGGCCGCAACTCATACGTCCATCGAAAACTACCGGGCCGCAATTCACCGGTCTCCGACATCGTAAACAACACCTTGGGTCGCAGCTCACCTACAGCCTTTGAATTAAAACCTAAAATTCTATGTAACAAAATGTACCAAAGTATAGACATATATTTTGTATAATTAACATTTAAATTCAATATAATAAATAGAATAGGGGTACATCTTATATAATTACAAGCTGTCCCGACCCGGCGTTGCCCGTGTATTAGTGTATTAGACACATAATCAGCTGATCGGATCACTGTATTCCTGTGGTATGAAAAATGATACCGCAGATATATTGCTAACTATTGATACTATTAATAATCATATCATTTAATATAAATTAATTAAAAATTAAAAACATGTTCTATCGGATTAAATTGTGAATCTAAACCTTTCTCAAATCAACTTAATCGCGAACACAAAATTTCATAAAAATCTGTCCAGCCGTTTAGGAGGAGTTTGAATACTTACACACGGACAGAAGAAATATATATATAAAAGAAATATGTGGGTTATAAATGTTATTTTTTATTTTGTTTTTTTGCAGAATGTGACGGTTTGAGTAACATGAGCATTACCGTGCCGGTAGCCGTGGCGTCAGGCGATTCCGCCAAAATGACGTGCACTTACGATCTCGGAACCGATCCTCTGTACACAGTTAAATGGTACAAGGGGAGGCAGGAATTCTTCAGATACGTGCCCAAAGAACTGCCGCACACCCGAGTGTTCCCATGGCCCGGAATCAACGTGGATGTAAGTGAAAACCCTTTAATAATAAATATTATTCTCTCAGCCGGTTTGCCGGTTGTACAGGTCATGACCTAATGAGGTTATTGATTCGCCAAATATTTCAATTTTACTATCTAATTATCATACAAACACGTTATTTTAAAAATATCAAAACTCTATAACATAAGGGAGATTAGAGACATATACCCAACATTAGTAACCCTTCTTTATATGCACTTTATTCACCCATACCTAAATAAAAGCAAATTACAACCCAGTTATACCTTGCATACTCACGTACCTCATCTATGGTTGTGTATAGTTATGAAATGCATCCAACACGTATAACTAGGGTTCTAAATGGATGTATGCAAAATATTTTACTGTCTCTCGCTTCATTACAGTCATATAGGTTTTATGACGTATACTTATACGGGAAAAGCGGAGGGTTGCAATTAAAAACGTTTAAAAGCATTATTTACTGGGTTTTAATGCGTTTTTTGCGTTGCCAACTAATTTACGAAGTGCTACCCACATAAATTATTTACATTTGATTAAAACGGAAACGTGTCCGTTGTTGTTGTTAATGATGGTTAGCAAACACTCCGGTTTCGACAATAACAATATTTAGATTTTTAGTCAGCCAACAACACCCAACGTAACGGTCCGAGTTGTCTATCGACCGTTAAACATATTTTTAATAACATAATAGGTATATAGTGTGTGTATGGCTACTGATATACAAATATGTTTGGTGCGCAATAAACGTGTTCCGGTGTGAATTAAATCGGTTAGGTATCAGAATTTACATGGTCTGGACGATTAACCCCCGGCGGCACGTTTGATACAGCACGGAAAAGCATATTATTACCGAGGATTTATCACCTGTTTACCAATGCAAATAGCAACCGCATTATTCATGCTTCCCGCTATAATATCACTTTTTCCGACCCCCTAGCCTTCATCACTTACAAGCATTCACTCCAGATAGTATAAATATAATATGATATTGTTTTTTAACAACTCCCCTGTGTCCGGGAATCATCGTTCGGGTAATATTATAGCCGGCACGACTAGTGCGCGTTATCCGCCACGAATTCGGCTATTGCCATCGGTGTACATTGAAAAACGACGGCACCGTTTAAGGGAATGTTTTAAATATTCTTTATACGTAAAACGCGCTTACAATATCTCTAAGGGGGGAAACAGTACAGACAGATCTGACTACTAGACAGCATTCAAATATTCTACGCTGTTGACATTTTTGTTTCACATCACACTCACTCAACGCACGCTATAGTAATACTGTGTTACGTGTTATTTATTTACATTACACTTTTTTGAGTTTTTGTTTAGTAAGTATACTTGAAATAGAGAAACAGCTCTCAGAATTTGATGCACGGGACAAAGCATGGGTCACACATTAATAATTGCTTTTGATTTAAACTCTGAACATTGAAGTTTGTTTTACACCAATGCCCTTAGATGTCATTCGTCACTGTACACATTAATTTTGCTGTTTGTTTCGTGTCACTTCAGGTGAGTCAATCTGGGCCCAACCAGGTGGTGCTCCGAGACGTACAAAGGCACTTATCCGACAAATATCGTTGTGAAGTATCGGCCGACGCTCCATCGTTTCACACCAAAATCGTGTCGTCATGGTTGCACGTCGTATGTGAGTATAACATATAGCATAACGAAATTAGCATCCATATTGTACTCCATTTATCCACCCCAGTACATTAAAAATTACGAAAGGCTGTCAAGGTAACTAGCTCAAAAATCCAGACTCTCGTTAGCACATTAGTTGTTAAGTTATGTTTTAAAAATATATAAAATGTATTTACGTAAAAGTAAGAAGTAAAATTGACTAGTAGCCAAATTTAGATTGTTTCAAATAACAAGGGATAGCATTAATAAAGAAGAAAATAATGTTTAATGGCTATAAAAGTTATAAGGTATAAGATTAAAGTAATGCAAGCACCGTTAAAAAAAATTACCCTTCGTGTTGTGGATTATAAGTGGCATATCATCCAATAAAAATGAGGCCTTCTTCCTATGTAACTGTATAATAATTTTACACTTGTCATTACAGATTATTTATTTATCTTTATATGATAATATATAATTATTATTATGTTTACATTAAATTTTAAATCGCATAATTCACACAAATGTTATCCAGTAAACTTTAGACATTTTTAAAATAAACCTCTAAAAGGAAAATATCTAATTTAAATATAGATATTTTATTGACAAGACTGCGTTACCCTTAGCTAAGTTTAATCGAATATATTATACTGTGCTGTTGAATAGAAAACTTCTGCGTATTAACTGAAAATCGTACTTTACCATGAGAACTAACGACTTTCAACTTTCTGAATTCAATTAAACCGATATAGCAATAGATACAATAGAAACGTCAGATTATAACTAACTTCATCTGTCAAGTTGCGGTTTATCAGAACTTATAGCTGAACTTCAAACCAGCGACTTTTGACATTTTCATCGGGGAACGCGCGTTAAAAACTTATTCTTTACAAAAAAAAAAACACAACCTCTCTGGAACACTTAATCTTGTCATTTCCTGTCCTATACCTACCTAATAATTTTCTAATTGCATTTCTCTGTATTAATAATACAATTATATCGTAGGGTGCACAGTGTTAACGGGCCACTTTAAGTGTACCCAGGTATAATCTAAATTCACCGAAACAGAACTTACTGATCTGGGAAACACATCAAGTGTTTTATTGATTTAGGTCACGCTACAGTAGGTTAATTATCTGATGGAAGTCTAATAATGCTAAAAAAATAATACCACAATACTGCTATATTCTTTAGTGTATTAGTGTTTGTTACTTTTGTGAATATTATTAAATATAATTATAATAAATGCGATGGTGTGATTTCATATAATACTCTACCGCGTCTATAGCGTTATTTTAACTTTAAAAGCGACAACGAATAATAAATCAATGATTACAATTATTATTAACAAACTTGCCAGTCGCCAAGGATAAATACTTTTCATGTGGTTCGAGGAAAAATAGTTAATATTTTAATGCTAACGGAGTGACACTTGAGACAGTATAGTTATTAAAACGTTCTAGCTGTATGTTTTTATTTTTATAGAATAATAAACCTAATAGAGGTCATACCACATTTAATTGTGAGTGTATAACTTTATTCTGTTTTTACCGACGCAATTGTATTTATTTATAAAAGTAAATAAAAATAACTTATGAAAACTTTTCATACTGTTTTTTATGCTGCATAATAAATATGGGTTATATTATGTTTTTGTTTTTTTTATGAATCGCGCATTGATATCCCATTTGAAATGCTATCTGGTTTAGCATTTTCACGCCATTTTATTTTCTCCCTAAGTCCACCGAAAACGGTTTACCATATATATTTATACGCCATGTTCGAGAACCTCAGCACGGTTTAGCGTGCATAATATATTTTTTTGTTCACTTTGCGTTTTTCGAATAAAAATTGATTGACCGATTTTTATCAAGTCGAATCTCGGTCCGGGGTTTGAAAAAGCCACGACCAGAGTGCGAGTGAAAAATATTTTTTTAGGCAGGTCGTTAATGTCAGCTGTGTTTTTTCATCGAAGTGAAGGCTGCTGCTGCCACCGTTGTGTAGATTTTAATCCCGAGCACAAAGTATTTTGGTATCGCCCGGACCAAAAAGAGATCCAAAAAAAACTGCCAAACAGAAAGAAAGAAAAAATACAATACTTATATATACGGATATAAGTATAAATACTCTTTGGTTTGCTTCCTGAAAAAATACAATAATGTTAGTTTGCTGTTGTTTTTTTTTCTTGTTCAAAGCTGTACAAATAAAAACCGTTTACGATTCCTTAACTCGCCTTACATATTATATATATATTTTTTCTACCCAAGTTCACGACGGTAGCGAATCATCGTTGGAAAGTTAATTTAATTTTTTATAACAATAATACACGCGAATGCGTATTATGTCGTTTAAGAAACAAAAACCGTTCTATGGAAAAAAAAATATTTTACGTTCGCCTTAGTATAAAGTATTAAATGTAAAACAGGCGACAGACGTGACATTACTTCGAAAAATACAGAAAATAAAATTCGGCCCAACTTCTATTGCGTTCTTTTTCAAATCCAATGTACTTTTTCATTTATATCCGTAGAATAGTGATCGCGTCTGTTAAATATAATTTTTTTTTCTTTTGTGTCATGTTAAATGACGTGTTTTACAGCTGATGAGAAATCGATTATTATTGGTTTTTTGTTTGTGATAATGCAGTTTCGACATTAGTTAGTGACTTTTTTTTTTACTTTTAAGGTAAAACAACAATCAAGTGGTTGAAAATGAAATCATAATAATAAAAGTTATTTATACCTAGTAGGAACTATTTCGCTTATTTTTTTGTGATAGCAAAATGTCAATAATGACACCTAAATTTCTCTTATATTATAAGTATAAATATATATATTTATATTATAATATTAACTTTTTCTTAAAAACACATAACGATATATTACGAACGCTTGTAATCCTATCATAACTATAACGTGTTGTATTTTATTTTTTAGGTAGTTGTTGAAGTATATAATATTTTAGTTGATTAATATAATATAATATGTACTATACTAAAAAAATCATATATTAATACGTATTATTTAATTATAGTATAAGTACTTGCATTCTATGTTATCTATAAAGTACTAAACGAAGAATGTATATAAATTGTTAAAATATAGAGTATACCTACTATGAAGTCTTTCAGAATTATTGTTATTTATTATTTAAAAATAAAAACACATGACACGTTAAGTAATTTATTCATTTTTTTTTAAATTTGAGCGCAGACGAAATAAATGGAATTCTGAAGTTTTACAAACAAGTTTTTTGTTCTATAACTTTGTAAAAAGTTTCAACTAATAGCACTTTGAAGACATACAAGTATTTTATATTATATTTAAGAAATTAAAAGTTACTATCTTAAAAAAAAATATCAAGAACTCTGAAGAAATAACCGTAAATTTATATAACCAAGTTTTACTGGTCATCCTTTGTTTTAATATAATTTTTTAGGGAAGTGAACAATTAATTTCATATAAAATGCGTGTATTGTAAAATCACAATTTACTTAATATTGCCCAGTCAATAATCAGTATCAAATAATAAGATACTAACTTGTATTATTAAATTCTAAATATCATTTATAATGTAAGGTAATTTTATTTATTTAATTATGCTTTGAGTGATTTACAAGTTATTATTATAAATCATTTTAAGATGTTTTACCTCTATAAAAGCAAAATATCTTATCAATTTATAACAACAAAAAGCCAGTATATTAAGGTTGGGGTAAAGCGAGGACAGGGCAAAAAAATGCATTGATGCGAATCTGTTGATGTTAGAAATACAAACATCGAGAAAAGCATTATAATAAAAATAACTTTCCTAAAAATATATTTATACGATAGTTAAAGTTAAGTACTGTTTATTATAATGTTATAGTTGCCATTGTTTCCTCTTTATCGCAATTAACATCATAATATATTTATATTCAGATACCGATTCATTGTTGTTTCACTCTCAGATAGCAACTTTACAAAATGTTACTACAATAGAAGTGTAATTTTTTCTTCATTGGTAGGTTTTCTAAATAAAAAAATTAAGTTGACTACAGATTTTTAAGTCTAGTTTTAAGTTAACATTATATATGCATTTTTGGGGTATTTAACTCGATTGAAGGGGAAGGATTAAACTTTTTAAATTTTAATATGATTTCTGCAGAATTAGGTATATAGATTAGAGAGATAGAAAAAAAATGCATCATTGTAAAAACAATACCCTCTCTGCTCTGCATCAAAGCTTATTTAATAGTGATTATTTAGGCAAAACAATCAAATTAACTTACAAATATTTAATTAAAAACATTTCTTTTGTTTAAAAATTTACCAACCGATATTTTAATTCTTAAAATTAAAAATGTCAATTTTATAAGTATTATTGACAAAATAAAATAGAATTGGCGTTACACATTTTCTCAACGGCTGCTTCCCTTTTATGAATATTAAAATTTAATGGGGTAAAATGTTTGCCTTTTTAATAATTAATAAATATAACTACACCATCGTTCCGCTTAAGATATTAAAAGTAGAGTGTTTTAATACTTTTATTGCCCATTAATAATTTTTTAATCAAAAAATGTTTTGTTGTCAACTTATACTTTTGTATACATTATATTTTTTTCATAGGAATAAAAATTGTATAGTTTTCTTTAGATAATTATTTAAGGTTTATTGTTTCTCGTACATAGTTTGTAGAACGAACAGCAATTTTAAATATTAAAAACATAAACACCTTAAATTATTTTTATAAATTTCTAAAATAAAACCCAAATCTCTAATTTCTATGAGCATGAGTTATAAGAAAATCGTGCTACTTTATTAAGTTTAAGGTTGGATTTAAAAAAAATACATACATGCCAGTAATATTATAATGTTTGATTTGCTGTAGTAAAAAAAAATAGATTTGAAGATAATATAACTTAGTATTTAGAACTTACTCTCATACTATTTTTCAATAGTATTTGTTTTATTATTGTATATGTTAATTCAAAATGTAGTTCACTAAGTACCTACACTAAAATAATTAAAGAATAAAAATAAAAAAATTAAGTAATGATAAAGGAAAGGAAATTTGTTAAAAGTTGAAACGTGCTAGACGAAGAAATACTAGTGTTTCTAGCGGTGGTTGTGTTTGTGATAATAATGATATTTAGTGTTTACAACATTTTAACTTACATGGCAAAGTTGTTGACACTGTTGGTGACGTATAATACCACTGACCTGTCTCCGATGTCACCGCAACGTTAAAGCTTATAGTTTCCCCGTGAGTTTGTTGTCCCAAAGGGGTTTCTCTTTTGTATCTCTCTTGTTAAAATATTATAATATTGGCCGTCACTCAAAATCGAGTAATTATATAAATATTGACTGAAGATTAATGGGAATTTTACCACCGAAACGTGTGTGGTCGAAAGTCGGTGAACTTAATTTAAAATTTTCCTCAATATTTAGATAGAAAATTGTTAAAAATTGACTAACATTTGCGCGTTTTTTATTTAGATCCACCGATAGGACGACCAGTACTGTCACTGGAGAAACGACATTACACCATTGGTGACAAGTTGAAGGGCAATTGCACATCACCCCCGTCCAGCCCACCTTCTAACGTTACATGGTATCTCAATGATAAATGGGTAAGTAATTGTTAATGTTATGTGTTTACATAATACGGATATTATTATATATTTACTCATGTGACAAAACATAATAATTAAATGAAATATTACAACCCAATAATTATTATGTATACCATTTGATGTTAATCTTTTGTAAATCATTTTAGTATTATTTTTACACAATATTAAAGAGTTTTATTAAAAGAAAATATTACTTTAATACAGTTAAAAACTCATATAAGATCTCCATAGTTAACTGCATGAAATATAGTAAATGAAGTTATATCTTCTATATTATTAAGCGGTTTTAATTATGCTTAAAATGTTGGTATATGTGGTATATAACGTGAGATGAGTGATTGCCGTAGCGCGCTAAAGAAATACTTGGACTATTTTCACTTGCCGCCCATGATAATTAATGAACGTTGGTACGTTAAGAAACTTTTCAAACTGATCATGACTTTTAAATAACTCTGAGGCTTAAAAATATTTCATTCATTATTCGGTTATGCTAAGTATGCTCTCACTAATATACATATATGAAACGGAGTTCCTTAACTGTGAAAAAAATTATCAAGTATATAAATGATAAATGGCATTTAATGGCAAATTACAAAATGTATGTGAAGTTATTTTTTAAATATAACATAATTTCCGTTCATTAAATTTATTTACATAAATCTTGAAAAAATCATACCGGCTCAAACTTAAGCGAATTTTACAAGGCACTATAGTGTGTCTAACGAAAATTTGATCTTTGTAATACATCCTAAGAAATTTTATATTCTTAAATTAAAAAAAAAATTATTAAACTATAGACTACAAATATTTATATATATATATATATATTTTTTTTTTATTAAATGAAAAATTAATAAAGTTATTTTATAAAGTAGGGATTTCTAAACATTTTGATTTGTTGATAACGAATTTTAAATAAATTCTTTTAGAGTTTTTAACGCTTTAAAGTGTAAATAACGGAGGATGGGGTTATGTCATGGAACGAAATATGTTTTTTTATTTGCACGCACTACTCCACCCCATTTATCTTCTCCACTTCCCTCATTTAACTCCAAAAGTAATTTTTTAAACTTGTTATCAACTCGTCAAAATGTTAAAATAATTCAATACTTTTAAAAAGCTCTGTACTTATAGTTAAACAAAAAATTATAATTCTTTTAAAACTTATATTTTGTTATTCCAAAAAATAAAATATTTGAAATCTATGAGTTAAATATTTGTTTAGTAAAAACAGAAATTTTCCTGGGAAATATTATAAAAATCAAATTTTTGTGGATTTAAATAGTATACGAAATGCATATCGTAAGTACGATATGCAATTCGTATATTATTCTGGTGGGCAGTTCAATTTGTTGTGAGCCGGCTTCTTGTTTCTGGTAACATATGTACACCCTCTTGCTCATTCTCCCTTTTCTATAATATTCCTATATTATGACCGTATTATGTCCTGACTTATCTGAAATGCAAAATACTTGTTACCACAGCTCAAATAGTGATACGCTTAAATTTAGAACTTAATTTATGATTTGAATTATTTGTTTTGCGAAAACAATGTTACTTCTGGCAAATCATATCCCATTTTGACCAGTGCCAGTACCTAATATAATACTAAGGGCATACTTGGCCACAATGTAGATATCACTTCTTTAATAGGCTGACTTTTGTAGGAGGAGGCTGGCCCTTTTTACGGTTAGAGTTTTGCTGAGGTAATATATACATATTGATACAAACTATAAATACTGGCCATTGCATTGGGAGTAATTTATTTTGTTCGGTCCTATTTTAATTAGCAAAACTTTTAACTTCATTTAACCCAATCCCATCGAGTGATATAGATGAATGCATAATACTTTTTTAAATGATGTATCGTGTATAATATAATAAAATGATAATATCAAACTATGATTATATAATGATATATTATTAATATTTATTACAAAATGCTAAGAATTATATTTACTATAAAACATAGTAAATTCTTTTTTCAAATAAATATGTTTAAATTGATTATAATATTATGTCCTTAGAAAGATTCTATTCTGGTATATTTTATTGATTCGTAATATTTTTTCTTCTACATTGTTAAATTAAAACAATGTATAAATATATTAGAAATAAGTTTTCAATTAATATTGTGTTAGTTCATAAACTATGATAATATTATGACATACTAATATGTACTGTAATAATAATCATCTAATCTAATCATCATCGTGACCCAAGACATATATATTTTTTTTTTCATCTGGTTGAAATATTTTATTAAAATTTATTTGTTTATTATATTTAGTTCTTATTTTTTAAATCACTTTCTCCATGAAGAAAATATGCTATCAAACGAAAAATTAAGATGTCCCCATTGTATTAAATATAGGTACATGTAATTTATTAGGTACAATGTTTTATATTTTAATTATTATTTAACCCTCAGTGATTTGTAAATCTCAGTGGAACATTTTTCACACTTATTACTTAAAGTATATATATACACGTGTCAAAACATTTCTTCGAAAGAACAAACGACAAGTATTTGCATAAAAATCACTTTTGGTTAAGCATAACCATATAACATACTTACTTAGTATAATTGTGTATAGCGTTTAGTTTTAAGCATGTCGGGGAATTATTTTCTTCTCTTAAAAGTTCTGACATAGAAGATTTTAGTAAAGTCGGTTTTTGACTTTCGAGTTTCGAGTATACCGATGTAAAAATAATAATATTCAAACATTAAAGACGGATAAAATATTGTATTTTTACAATCGTAGGTACCTAATTGGATTTGTTATATTCACACAAAAATAAAGCGGGTCGATTGAAAATTATTACAACAGTAAAATACATTTATTTCATATTTAATTATGGATATTATGTTTATCCTTTATCCTCTCAAATATTTGTGTAACATTTTCTTGCCAAACTTACTAACATACATTTAACCTATTAAAGTAAATTGATTTTGGTTGAATCTAATATACCTGAATGTATATTTTTGGGTAGCCGCTGATTGGTTTGTACACCTTTTTTAGACTTTAGATGTGGACTCATTGTGGTTAGCCACTCTACATAAAATTAATACCCAAATACACTAATGAAATTTAAAAGATGATCTGTGTTTCTATTGGTATTTTTTAGAAACGCCTTTTTATTGAAAATAATAGAGGGTTCGCGCAAAATAAAGACAAAATCCTAAACAAATCTTGAAGAGGTCCTGTAATCGTTAGATGTACTTTTTACCCAGTCCAATATAAATATATAACCATTTTATGATCATAACGTTTTTGCTTTTTGAACATACATAATTTTTAATAATGTGTTCAGTATTATTGAAATTTTGAATAAAAAACATTCAAGCAAACACAACGCAACTATTGCGCTCTATGAGCAGATAAAAACTTTCCGATTTCCATATAATTTCAATTCAATTTTAGTTGTTTGTGAAATCGCAGATACGGTGAACAGATAAACGTTTATTGTAATATATTATTTTATCTTATTTAAACAAATGTTAGAGACCCGCCAACGTTCGGACGCGTTCGACACGTGTTTTCTTCGTATCCCATAAATACAGGTACTTTATCCTTAAATACCGGTTATCTGTAAAATATCATTGCCAAAGGTTTCGACACGGCATACCAGGAATACACGGGATGCACAAAGCTTACTATCTATTAACGTTAAAATGGACGTTATGAATGTTCATCTGAAGTGTGGCAAATTTATTTAGATATAAAAGATCTCATTGCGTTTTGTTATTTTGATTAATCAAATTTCTAAATCCAAAAGTCATAATCTTGTGTTTGTGAAATTTTAATTAAACTAACTAATCTCCATTGGTACCCACAATTTCAAAACATGTACTTATGGATTTGTATGTAATATATTATGTAATAAGTTGTTATATTACCTAATTAATCGTTAAGATAAATGTTTCGTTGAAATACATCTTTAATTAATTAATATATATTTTCTTTATTTACAATCTATACAAAATATGTATAATCAGCAGTCTGATAACAAAGATACAGTGACAATAATGTATGAATAGGAAGGTTCTCAGCAGTGCCACCTGACCAGAATAATATCTTAAATAAAAAATAAATAAATAATTAAATAATCTTGCTACTTATCTACAATAAAAAATAAATTGTACAAATATAATATTTACTGTGATTTTTGTATAAAACCGAATTTCAGGCCAGAATTTTATCCGGATTCCTAAAAATATTAATAATGACACATTGAAATAATAATTGTTAGCGAAATTCCATTAATATAGGAAAGTTGTACTATGATTTTGGCAGATCACGATATTGTACAGATTATTTTCACAGCATTTACGCGTTGTATAGTAGACATATTTTATGACCATGAGTGTCCTTTGGGAAGATACGATGCCTCATACCTAACTGTTCCGTTTTTATAATTTACTTGTATTTTTATATAAATTATAATTTATACAATAATATAACCGTATTTATGTTTCCCATAGGCTCTATATCACACTAGTGTATGATTACAATGTATTCTACTTATCATATTATTATGGTCTTAAAAGGTCGGCTTAGTTTTTATAATGTCCGTTTACGCTTTATTAAACAAAATTATTTATTAGAACTATGAAAATACAGCCCATGTTTTTAGCATGTTTGTAAGCTAATCTATTTTTTATAAATTCTTTAGAAAACATACGGGAAGACATTGGATATGTCTATTTTTGATCCTCCCCACACTCTTACTTTCCGGTAAATAAAATCCAGCTTGAATTTCAATTAATTGTTTTACTCGTATAGTATAAACACTGTTACTAACTTCATTTTTTTTAACTTACGACTCAAAATTAAAATAAAAACCATTAAAAACTGTGTTGTAAGAGAAAACTTACTAATAATATAATAATTGGTCAATAGAAGTGTTTGATTTTTATACTATAGCCAATACGTATATTTTAATAATAGAAAAAGGCAGAGGTTTCAAAATGTGTATCTCTGTGAACTAATCATATATTGTTCATCCACACTTCTGTTTTCGTCAAACTCTTAAGTACTTCTAACCCGAGTAGTGTTTGTTCAAAACAGGTTAATTGTGGCTTGTCCTTATTTTCAGATAATTTGTGTGATACAAATGGTTAGTTTTTAATTTGAATGTTCTAAACTTAATTTCAATTAAGTTTTAACAATTTTTTTTCATTTGGAAAAAAACTACATAAAACTGTTAAACCCCGTAAATGTAATTACGAGTAAAACAATTATTATAAACAAACACATTTAAAATATTATTTACTTAAGATAAATTAAAATAATTAAATCCTCGTTGGACACCCTGCGGATATCATAAACGAAGCTGAAAAACCACTTTCCTTTATAGTTTTTTATTCATTATGATTAATTGTAATGTTAAGTGTGTCCCATTGTTCGATGAGAGTTGACTATGGGATCTTAACGTAGTGTTTTGAAGATCGATAAATCGTCACGAAATTTCGTTAACCAAATGTTTAGCAAAAGTAACTATACATTTAGTTCGTCCGGCTAAATGTTTATTTAAATCAACTATTTATTTAGTCATTCGGCATTCCAACTATAAATTTATTGTGTCCCTATATTAACCATAATTTTAGTTGGTCCAACTCTGAATTTTTTTTTCGTATAGTACGTTAGAAAAGTGCCATAACAATTTGTGTTCAAATAATAACGCTAATATGATTTCGAATAGGTTATGACATAAAATGGTTGTAGAAAAACCGTAGACAATTACTTATGATGTATATATTTTTCTAAGTAAGTCTTATAACAGTCATCCGTCATTATTTCAGATGAATTCAAGTTATGCTCGGTCCTTAGACGACGACCGTGAAAACGGACGTGGACATGGCATGCGGACGACTACTGTCGGATTAGAATTGGAAGTGAACAGCTTTAGGGTTGGCAAAATGCGTATTAGATGTGTGGCTGATTTGTACGGCGTTTTCCAGTCGTCGACAGAAACCGTGTTGGACGAAGAGAAACCCCGGCTAGCGTCTATTTTAAGCACGTTTTCGTCGTCGCCCACAGGTAATTGCAGAAATTACATAAAAAAGAACACTAGAAAAAGTCCTTAAAAAAATCTGCCAAGGTTTTTATACTCGCGCATGGGAGTATATGTGTTTGTGTTCATAGACGACGAAGTTCCGGATGAAAAATGTAGTGTAAAATGGGTTTAAGGGGGATTAAGGGCAGCGGCGACGGCAGCGTATATTCCTCACCCGTGGTTGTAATGTAATGGTCTCCAGTCGTGTAGAAGGCAATTTATTTGCTTGATATGTGTGTGTGTGTGTGTGTATGTACGAGCTAGATCCGCTTCAGTAGTATATATATATATATATATATATATCACACGATCGCAAAATCTACACACACAATACAGTGCAAAAAATATAAAAATAAGCAAACCCAACATTCCTTCATTCCTCCTTGTAATTCTGATCAGAAAAACCTTTTATTTATTATTTGCTTTAATCAAAAATCTCACGGCACGTACGGATGTTTATCATTTTCACTGTCGTTCGCCGCTTTGGTTAGCCTCTAGAATAGTACTACTTCTAATGCCGCTTCGTTTAATAAAAGTTTTTTATATTTTCGTCATCGATCGATTTAAACAGGTGCCAATTTTAGCCAGCTTTTGCTTTACTTTCGCCCTTTTACTGTCTATTGTGTGTATGTTGGTCAAAATCAGTGATCTCTTGGGAATCTAACGCCACTGTCACGCACGTATTAACCGCAAACAGAAATGGAGTACTACACGTTGGCTGGATAGGTAGCTCTGTTTTAGAGGGGGTTCAATACGTCGATGGCTTACCTAAAGTAAACTTCACAAAGTACAAACTGTAATGGATAATACAATTATATATAGATTTATACGTCAAGAGTGTAGTACACAATAAGTAGTGTACATTTTGTATTTAAAGAATGTACCAATAATTTTAACGCATAAGAAAACAATAGATAAATTAACTGACATGAATTATTTATCGAAATACCTATATGACTAAATAAATATTATACTACAACAAGTTACCCATTACCGACAATGATTAATGTGAAGCGGAAAGGGAAAAGTGACCTCTTGTCGCGAGAATCCAAATCGTTAGACAGGCCAAAAACATCGATCAGGGTTGGAAACATATTTAAGAAAAAAAATTGTGTTATCTGCTTAAGGGCTCTTTATTTTATTTTTTGGTTAAGTTTCATTCCTTAAGTATGTAAAATAAAAAACATTTCAAAACTTTAAAGCATTTTTTCTCAAAAAAACCTATTTTTTGAAATTAAATAGAATACAAATAACAAATATAATTCGACTAATTTCCAAGATAAGAGAACGATTCTGGTCTCACAATGTTCAGAATTTGTTAATGCATAATTTGAAATAACCAATAACTCAAAATTGTATTTTTGCATCCCTTTTACCTTGGTATATTGTTCTCAAATTAGTTATAACTTTTATTAATATTAAAATTTTTGTTGTTACACATAGTTTAGACACTTTTTAGACACGGTATAATATACGACTAGGCGTTCGGTATACACATTTTACAAACTTAAACGTGGTTTTAAATAAAAATGTATCTCTTTATTTAGGGGAATCAAAAAAATATCTTCTGTCACTTATGGCTGTTCTACTGGCCAGTATTTGGATAACACGGTAACCGTAATCGAATCAAGAATACTCGGTGTGACTGTATATCCATAGAAAAAAAGAATGGTTCGGTGGACTGTTGACCTTTAACTTTGTATAATTAATATTTAAAAAAAAATTGTTTAAGATAAGTTTGTAAGTATATGTTGTTAATATTTTGAGACTTCGTGGGGAACAAAAATTAATTTCCACGCTTGTTTGTAAAAATTGTACTTTACCATTTGTAGTTATCATAATTATCACTGTTTTGTATAAAATACATATTTAGAGATGTTTGGTTATAATTAATAAATTAATACAATTGTTCGGCTATTTATTAAGTTTTTAATTTCTAAAAGAAATATTTATACTAAGAAAGTAATAATGTTAATTCATAATGTTAATTGTTTCCCATAAAAATATGCTATATGCATTTCTATACCATAATGTTTAACCTTTTTAAATACATATATTATTACATACTTATTATAGTTATTTTAGATCATACTGTTAATGTTGTGTACATAAATAATAAATATTTACCGAACCAAATATTACTGTATTATAATATTCTAGGTATTGCATTTGTTGTTGTTATGCCTCCATCTTACACTCAGCGCAGCGCGGCATATTATATAGGCAATATAGGTACATGTATGTGCACGTTACAAATAATTTAGTTCGCCTGTTAGCGGACGGTTTTCATTAGGTACCTACTTATAATACTTTTTGTCACTAAAGAATGTTGATTAAAAAACAGTCCAATGTAAAATATGTTAAACGTCCAAAGAGGAAAGATTAGATTTATAAGAAGAATTTTTTATTAGAATAATCTATTATTGTCTAAACACTAGTAGATTATTTACCTATGTAAATCTGTTTTTTCCGTTATTAAACAAATGACCGTAAGTATAAGATATATTATGGTTTTATTCCCCGAAGAAAATACTTTATACAGTTTACGGCTATTCGTTTCGAGTAAAACAAATGAAATACACTTTAACTTTTTAATAAAATACATAATAGTAAAGTTGATTTATTTAAATTAGGTTAATTTGTATTCGACCTCGGAAGTTTTCTCTAGTTGTTTTTTACGAGTCTGTATGAAACACAATGTTTACAAACAAATATGAATTGTACATGGAATAAGAAAACATCGATAAGATTTAAATATAATTTCTTATTTCAGTCAAACTATTATATACAAAAAATCACTTAACCTTACATACAAACAAATAAGTAAAATATACTTTAATCCGCTTATAAAAATATAAAATATATTAATGGTATGCTTGTTTGTTCTCGTGTAGTCAAAACTGAATTATTTGTTTAAATATTGTTGTTTACTTGAGTAATTTATGATGTATCAAGTCGTGAAACTTGTATTTAAAAATAATATTAACACAACTTGTTCAGATATGTTGTAGATAGACTGCACAGTAGATTATTTGTGCTACAGCTGGTAAGTAGGCACTACATGTGAGGTTAGCGAGTAGGTTTTTTTTATATGTCGTGTTCTCATTATAATATAAGAAATACTTCCGAAATAGTTGTAATTTTTCAGTTTTATTTATTATTTTATACAGCGGGAATTTCAAGAAGTGAGAGCGCGTGGTTGGTCTGGTGTGCCCTCAAGCTACATATTATATGCATAACCGCCCAAAATAATGTGAGCACACCTATGACGGCACTGTTTCATTAGCATTTATCAGATATACGGTTTAGTTAACATGGAAACTCGACCCTTGGTCGGCCTCAATTAAATGTACCAAATTAACAATTTGTAGGGCAATTTTCGCTTAAATTGTCGATATAATTTGTGTTAAGTATGTGCAAGCCAATGCTACAACCAGTGGATTACTTATAGCGAATGTTGACGAAGGCCATTGTCGACGTTTCACGCACATCGCGACAGACGACTCGTGGCAGAGATAGAAAAAGTTAAGTGTAAAGGGCAGACTAGTGCGTTTTGTGTGTGGACAAAGTTTGTTACCACACCCGATGAATTATTCATAATTCGTACGGTAAATTTGAAAGGTCACCAAAAAATTGTATATTGGCCAGCACGTGTGCTTTAAAGGTTTTTGATCAGACGGTTATTTGTACAAATAAGAACACACTTGGGTTTAATATCGAAGCGAGATTTTTCCCGGGAGAAATTCGTCGAATTCCCGTGAGAGCATTATACATTACCAGACTTTCACGATTTTATTTATATGATCACCGAATAAGTACACACTGAACAAGCATGTTTGACTTTAAAGTTATTAAAGTTATTAAACTTACCACCTTCCAAGTTAATAAAATTAATGGGCTTACTAGAAAAAGCCAACTTTATTTTGTTTTTTTACAACAACAGGCCTATACAATTTAAAAAAAAAAAAACATTTTTTCATTTGCTGGTAGCACTTCATAAACATAAGTTTTTCAATCAAATGCGTTTTAAATAACTTCTATTTCAGGTTTTTATTGAGGGCAGAGGCCAAAGTAAGAGCTACAGACGAAACGCTGCAGCAAAGGCAGACGGAGTGGGCCGTGGAAACAAGTCGGATAGTGCCCGATGCATGGGTGTTATAGCGCCTACTTAAATAGGTTTAAGCACCTAGACAACCCGCAGTGTGTCTACTGCCAGTATCCCCGGGACGACACCGAGCACACCTTCTTTGTGTGTGATCGGTGGTGGCGTATCAGGGGGCTATTAGACATCGAGTTGGGTATGAGCCAGCCAGAGTGGAAGAGTATATGCTGGGCTCCACAGATAGGTGGCTGATCATAGACGCCTTTGTCGATTCAGTCCTGTCCAGTAAAGAGGAGAGCGAGAGGCTGCGGCAGTTGGGAGCGGCGGGTGCCGTGCCACCGGCTCCGGAAGACTAAGCGGTACGAGGCCAGTCGAGCCTAAGTTGACGTCCCACCGATCATATGCATTATATAATATATGTATTGTACATTGTCCCCATTACGTCTCTGGTGCGGCACTCATATATAACATAAAGATGCCATCAAAATAATAACGTGTCGTCGTCGTCATGCAAACGTTTTGGCCAGAACATATAACTAAGACTATACTACTATCGTCTATATAAATCGCAAGGAGATTACATATCAGAAATAATCACTCGGGAGCCAGCAGGCCAAAGCATGTTCAATGTTTTATAATTTTAGCTGTTAGGCTTTAAGTAGGCTGTAACTTTTGTAAAAATAGTTAAGTTTGTGAGCCCGACCCGCAAAAAAGGAAACGGATATATTCCATTCTTAATTGTAGTGTACGGCTAATAAATTATTTAGACTGGGAGGAAGTAGTGTGTTAACAGTCCCCTCCCAGGTCGGCGATTACTTGGGGAAAAAAAGAAGGTTTCTATTGTGCCATATGTTATAAATCAATATCCAGTTGTACAAAAGTTAAAAGTCATTAAAAGTTGTAGAGTAATAATATTAATATAAAACTGATTTTTAAAAAAACATACAAACTTGTAAAAGTTTAAAATATGATTTGAGTCACTTAAAAAATAGTCACAATTTACTTTTTTTTTTCACAAAATCGATTTAATTAAAATATTTTTTAACAGTAAAACAAATTAATAATGTGTCAAGAAAATATATAATTATATGAAAACACAATAACTTATACAGGATACTATAAATATAGTATACGTCCATATTCTTAGTGCCAACTGGAATTTATTGTAAACGAATGGGGGGAAAGTTAACAATATTTGTTTAATAGAGTAATTGACAACTTTCAATATTAACTCAATACTTTGAATTATAAGATGGAAATTTACGACATAATTAAATAAAATACAAACATTGTTGGTTGTTTATATAAAAACATTTTTCAGCCGAGTCTGCAACCTCGAAAGAGCATTTTCATATCTCGTGGAAGTACCGAGATAAATTTAGAGTAGTGGTGAAATTATAGATAAAGCTAATATCTGAGGTGGCTAGTAAACATATCTGGTTTCTGGCTAATATTTTAGTGTTTTCATAATATCTGGCTTTAAACAATTCATAGAGAATTTGGCTCCTTAAACTATTTTGAATTTATTTTTCAGTTATAATTTGATCGTTGTAAATACAACACATAGTTTAAAATAACAGCGTAACGCTTTTTTGGTAACATTTTTTTGGGGTTATGTGCCAGAGCTTATTAACCAGAGTATTCTTTAATCTTATAACCTTTATAAATATACTATATAATAAATATATTATGTATAATACTATATATTGATCAATAATTTAATATAAAGAATTTTTCTTTAAATTGAAAATGTTATAACTATTACTTAACCACCCAAGTGTCTTCGACATCTGTGATTTTACTTTTTAATATTTTTTAACTTACTTAATCAATTATGTCAGTGATTCCGTTGACTCTAACTGTCAGTAATGAATTACGCGTTTCTGAACGCGTTGAAGTGCATGAATGACTGTCCAATCATATTTCCGTCGGTTGTTCAATGAATTCAAAACTTAAATTTATTTAATCTGTTCTACCCTTTTGTAATATTTTAAAAGTCGATGCAGATCTATAATTTTTATCGTTATTTTATTATAATTGTAGTAAGAAAACATTTATAAAAAGAACATGTAAATGACATTTTAATAAAAGTTCAATTATATTATGTTAACATAATAATTTGTCGACTTCCACACTATTCAACAATTTCAAATCGGTTCACTGTATTTAAATTATGCAAGAATGAGAATAGTTCAATAATTGAATTTTTGCCTTGCTTTTTACAATTTACATTAAATGATCATTTATTAAGGCCAATTTTGTTTGTTTTGTTAAACTATCATATTATGTTATTTTATTTTTCCTTCTACATGTTTTTTATAAAAATCTTTACTCTATAACATTGGGTCCGTTCCTTTTTGTCAATTAACAAGCTGTCCGATCCGGCGATGTCCGCGATTTAGTTTGCCAGGGCTGAGTAAAATAATTACAAATAAGATTAAAAAAAAAAAGTCAGTACTCCAGGCTAGTCCATTCTTACTCCAGTCAGTACATTACATTATATTGATTATATCCTCCTCTTACTCAATGGTCCCAGTCCCGGTCCCAGATCCAGTTCTAATCGTGAAAATGTTTAATAGCGTCCCCCGGAATGGTGGTACATAGAATCGGCCTGTTCCTTTAATCATCACTTACCATTCGTTCGAGTACCGTGGTTACCATGGTTACAAACCGAGTGTTTATTTTGGGTTAGAAACGAAAAATATTTCGTATTTAAAGTACAAAATTTGTGTTTGAGGCCATCCTTAGGTGTGAAATTTTCAAAAAGTACTATGCCAGATACTGTAACAGAATATAGTATACAATTA